TCTAGATATTGTTCAGACAGATATTTCAAGTCCTATCGACCCGATAGCAGAGGATGGTCATAGTTATGCTTTAGGTTTTGTGGAAAGTTTTTCTAGATATCTAAAAATTCATTTCATAAAGACGAGAGATGAGGCAACAAAAAATTGAGAGGTTCATAGCAGAGATAGGAGTCCCTCAGACTTCAGTTTGAGATGGCGCAGGAGAGTACATAGTTCAGGATTTTAGGCGAGTTTGTAGGAAACTGAAAATAAGACTATACCCCTCAAGAGAACAGAAAGATAGAAAGGGTGTGGGGAACAATTACTCCAATGGCTCGCTGCATGATTTTTGATGCCAATTTATCGAGAACTTATGGGCCTTATGCTCTTAATATGGCTACCAATCTCAAAAACTTGTTTTGGAGAAGTTTTCGAAAATAAACCAAAAATGCTAAGGAAGCTTTAGCAGACCCTGACTGGCAATAAACAGTGAAAAAAAGTTTGATTCATTCAAGAAAAACAAAGTTTGGGAACTAGTTAGAAATAGAGCAGAGAAGCCTATAGGCAGCAGGTGGCGTTTTGATTTGAAGTACGGACGTAATGGCGAAGTTTCTAGGTTTAAAGCTAGGTTTGTTGCTGAAGGTTTTAGCCAAGTTGAGAGAAGGGATTTTCACGAAACGTATTCGCCTACAACTAAGATGTTGACTATAAGAATAGTTCTAAGTTTATAAGTTCAAAATAGGTATGAGTTAAGACAGTTAGACATTAAAACTGCATACTAGAATGCCAAACTAGATACATATATTTTTACGAAGCAACCTGAGGTGTTCCAGAACTTTGATGCAGAAGGAAAACCTTTAGTGTGTCTTCTGAAGAAAAGTGTTTAAGGACTAAAGCAGTCCGGTAGAAACTGGCACAGGACTCTAAAAGGCTACCTTGAGGAGTTATGCTTTGAAAATTCAGTTTTTGATTAATGCTTGTTTGTTAAGAGGATTGAGGGAGAGATAGAAGATTTAATTTGCTTGTGGTTTGATGATATAGTGGTTTGTGGTGCGGACGAAAGTTTCTGTAGCTGGTTTGACATCAAAATCTCTGAAAAATTTGAGATAAGCGAGATAAGTGATCTCAAATGGTTCTTAGGAATGAAAATTGATTACTGAGGAAACGAAATGAGGATAAGTCAGGAGAATTATGTTGAAAAGTGGTTATCAAGATTTGAAATGACCGAAGCAAAACCCATAACAACCCCTCTTGCTGAAAACGAAAAACTGACAAAAGAAGATTGTCCTTTAGAAGGTAGCATAGAACAAGAAAATATGAAAAAATGTGACTATCGAGGACTTGTTAGTTGTCCAAATTTCTGAGCCCTATCAAGTAGACCCGACATTTGCTTTGCAGCAAACCTTAATTCTTTTGTGGAAAACCCAGGTGAAAACTATTGGAAAGCCGGAAAGAATTGTCTAAGATATCTGCTAGGAACAAAAAGTTTGCCTTTAGTATGTAGGAGGGATAAAGCGTTCAATCTTGCTACCTTTTCGGATGCGGACTGGGCTGGAAATAAAGACAATAGGAGAAGTACCTCAGGATATCGTTTAAAGCTCCGTGACAACTCAGGTGGAATAATTTGATCTAGCCAATTTATCGAGAACTTATGGGCCTTATGCTCTTAATATGGCTACCAATCTCAAAAACTTGTTTTGGAGAAGTTTTCGAAAATAAACCAAAAATGCTAAGGAAGCTTTAGCAGACCCTGACTGGCAATAAACAGTGAAAAAAAGTTTGATTCATTCAAGAAAAACAAAGTTTGGGAACTAGTTAGAAATAGAGCAGAGAAGCCTATAGGCAGCAGGTGGCGTTTTGATTTGAAGTACGGACGTAATGGCGAAGTTTCTAGGTTTAAAGCTAGGTTTGTTGCTGAAGGTTTTAGCCAAGTTGAGAGAAGGGATTTTCACGAAACGTATTCGCCTACAACTAAGATGTTGACTATAAGAATAGTTCTAAGTTTATAAGTTCAAAATAGGTATGAGTTAAGACAGTTAGACATTAAAACTGCATACTAGAATGCCAAACTAGATACATATATTTTTACGAAGCAACCTGAGGTGTTCCAGAACTTTGATGCAGAAGGAAAACCTTTAGTGTGTCTTCTGAAGAAAAGTGTTTAAGGACTAAAGCAGTCCGGTAGAAACTGGCACAGGACTCTAAAAGGCTACCTTGAGGAGTTAGGCTTTGAAAATTCAGTTTTTGATTAATGCTTGTTTGTTAAGAGGATTGAGGGAGAGATAGAAGATTTAATTTGCTTGTGGTTTGATGATATAGTGGTTTGTGGTGCGGACGAAAGTTTCTGTAGCTGGTTTGACATCAAAATCTCTGAAAAATTTGAGATAAGCGAGATAAGTGATCTCAAATGGTTCTTAGGAATGAAAATTGATTACTGAGGAAACGAAATGAGGATAAGTCAGGAGAATTATGTTGAAAAGTGGTTATCAAGATTTGAAATGACCGAAGCAAAACCGATAACAACCCCTCTTGCTGAAAACGAAAAACTGACAAAAGAAGATTGTCCTTTAGAAGGTAGCATAGAACAAGAAAATATGAAAAAATGTGACTATCGAGGACTTGTTAGTTGTCCAAATTTCTGAGCCCTATCAAGTAGACCCGACATTTGCTTTGCAGCAAACCTTAATTCTTTTGTGGAAAACCCAGGTGAAAACTATTGGAAAGCCGGAAAGAATTGTCTAAGATATCTGCTAGGAACAAAAAGTTTACCTTTAGTATGTAGGAGGGATAAAGCGTTCAATCTTGCTACCTTTTCGGATGCGGACTGGGCTGGAAATAAAGACAATAGGAGAAGTACCTCAGGATATCGTTTAAAGCTCCGTGACAACTCAGGTGGAATAATTTGATCTAGCAGACTTCAGCGTTGTGTATCAACTTCAACAGCCGAAGCAGAACACAATGCTGTGGTCGAAACATTAAAGGAAGGAATTCATTTACAGGGTATACTTAGCGACTTAGGCTTAATTTTTATTAGGCCCTCGGAAGTTTTCGTTGATAACTAAGCTTGTTTTGCCCTTAGTAAAATTTCAATGAACCACGGAAAGACGAAGCATTTTGCCATAAAGTTACACTTCCTTCGAGAGTTACTTGAACAGAAGAAGGTGACATTAATCTTCTTGCCAGCAGCAAACATGCCTGCAGACGTTTTGAAGAAAACAGCTTTTTTCCGAGACATTTTACTAGGAACCACCTTATTTGAAAGGCGGGGTATTGGTGACTTTTCGTAACTGAACTGGAATGGTTCTTTCTCATTCGGTTCAAACTGAAAAATCACTTCCCGATTTTTGTTTAAGTTAGCTGGTAAAACATGACCTTCAGTCATTGGTTCGAGCAATTTTGTGCGGTTGATTTACCATATTTATTTGATCTGAATTACTTCTGGAACTATCACTCAAATCTCATTAATTCACTTCTTATTGATCAACCGTTTGTCGCTGCAATAACCTTTATCCTTGGAGCAATTGGCATTTTTGCTATGATTGAGATGTTATTTTACTTGATTCTATAGCCTACTTGGTATTATGGGCTAGGAATATTTCAAGGTAAAAAGCAATCACAAACAGCATAAAACGCTTTTGTCAAACCATTTTACAATAAGGAGTTATGGCTTATGCGTCAACAGTTAAAATTCAATTCGGAAATGCAAAAAACTTAAGCCTTTACTAAAACTATTTGCTTCAAAATAAAATTTAAGAGAATGAACGATATAAAACAAAAAAAAAAGTAACTACGTAAAAGATTCAATATCTTTAGGAGTTCAAAACAGGAGAAAAAGAGTTCAAATTTCTGAAAATTGTTTAATGAAGTTTTGAAAAAAGAAAGCAATCGAACATGGATTCAGCAAGCTGTAAATGAAAAATGTTTAAAAATGTTCCAGTGCGAGAATTTCAAATAAATGGATACCTGTGCATAGAAAGGGTAATAAAAAATTCAAAAATTCATTTTTGGTTCAAAGTTTTACCCAGATTTCGTAAGTTTTCAATCATAAGTTTTTTGAACTACTGAATTTAAGGAAATAGAGGTGAAACTCAAAGAGATACAAAAAAATTATGCTGTCAAATGTAGTTGTAGTTCATAGCATAGTTCAGACTTTTATATAGGTCGTGATGTTTTTTTTTAGTTTTGTTTTTGCAGCTAACGTCTCAAAATGCTCTAATATTTAATGACAGTGCATTCAACATATTCATGTTTTTATGAATGGCTTTAGGTATATGTGCTCTTTTTGAATTCTATTCAAGTTCGCTTGCTTAAAAGCAGGCAAGTTTCGCTCTCCATTTAGGTAAGAGAAACTGTCACAAAAAACGTTAGCGACTTCTAGTTTCGATAGTGGAATTTAATTCTTAGATTTACCAATGGAATTAAAACTTGAGCTAACTCTCCAGTTTTCTCAAGTTGGGTAAAATTTATCAGACAAAGGCCAATCATAAATCGTTTTTGTAATTCTAAGAGCTGTAAGACCATATATTTTTTCTTTGAAATTTGAAAGATGACATTTTTAAGAAACTAGTCAGTTTTTCTGTTTCTTTGCGTTCATTGATCCTTTTCTACGTTATGTTGGCTATGCTGTATTTTTTTGTCCCAAATAGCTTCAATAATCAATCTGTGGTTGTCTTTAGTAAAAAAAATCAAAAATTAAAAAAAGGATTAGAGGTGCCTGAAAACGGGCTGCAAAGTTCGACGAAGTGAGATTTCATGAGATTTCATTTTGCTGTAAAAGTTCTAATCTTACATGGAATAGAATCTGATTTACAAACGTTTTATTGCTAGTAGCCACAATTTTACGAGCTGATGATCTGCGCTCGATGTTCGAGTGTTAGGCAACATTTCTAGCTAGATAACAGTAATTGCTTTCTTAAAATTGTTTTCACAATAATTGAAATTGTTTACTTAAAAGTGCATGGGTCTACTCGATGGCAAATAAAAGGTCGGTTCGTCTGAACTAATCAAGTTTTTATTTTTAGTTTTTCTCCAAAATTGGACGACCCTTAACTGTCAATCTTCGCCGGGACCCGAATGGGAAAAGCCGAGACGCAATTGTGGAATTTGCCACTCGTGATCAGATGAATGACGCTGAGAAAATGAATCGCCAATACATAAGTACGAATTTCAGTTTTTTCTCTCTTTAATATAACTGTTGGATTTTCAACTCTGTATTTGAATAAATGTGTTTCAGAACATCGATATGTTGAGATCAAGAGACTTTAAAGAAGACAAGAGGATATATACAAACAGTTCTACTTAATGTATCCATCTTTTGATTGGCAGCTTGTTTCATATATATTTTTTGGCTGTTGTGTTGATGTGATTATTTAATCTTGGATGTTTTTAAAGAATAAAGTTTCCTAGAATCTGAATGAGTTTTCTAATATTAACCTGAAATGATGAGAGATGAGAGATCAACACAAAATCTATTGCAGGCTTACAGTGTCAATGAACGAAGTGAAGACACTAATCTAGGTAGTGCGCTTTCTTCATTTGTTTTTTTAAGGGAAAAGTCAAAATGTCTCCAAGCTTAAAATTATATTTCGGTCTTTCTTTGGATTTCTTTTTAAATTCACTTCTAATTCGTTTGCGATGGGAAATTACGCTTTCCAATTACAAATCGCAAATGGAGCGAAAAGGCGTGATTGTTTTTTAACTTCAAATAGGGAACTTTAGATTTCCATGCTGAATAAAAAACATGGGATCCAGTTTTCGTAAATTAGGTTAGGTTAATAGAAAACTTCAAAAAATTTCCAGCACATTTTTCAGATTATTTTTGATGGGTAAAAAACGAAAGCCTTACAAGCCTCCTGATCCCCAAGGACACCTTCTGGAGCCATCAAATTGGAAAGAAGTCGTTAAGGAGAACACGTTTTTTGCAAAATATTACAAGTGTCAGAAAATAGTCCCTGAATCAGAATGGAGCTCCTTTTTGAACATTTTGAAGGAAATGTTGCCACTATCGTACCGGTTTATTGGCAGTTGTGAAACTGCGCTATTGTTGTCGAAGAGAATGATGATAGATTTCATTGATGGCCTGCCTGAAAGTATACCGAGGCCATTTAAAACCACCTGGTATCCGCGTAGCATGTCATGGCAGCATCAGATAAGTCGCGCTGAAATAAGGCGAGTAATTTTGCTATTCTACGTTGAAAATATTTGGTTTCAAAATTTGGTGAATAACGGCGACATTATTTTATTCGGACCGATTTAGGAAACTTGTTCAGTGGCTCATTGAGTAATACATTTTTTTGAAATAAGTAGCAGTGATAAAAGTGGATGGAAATAGCAGTGATAAAAGCCTAATTTGTTTCTTGGTATTCAAAAAATGAGTTTTAAATATGATAAGTTTCCAGGTTTTCACACAGTTCAGAGTTTTTGCCAGAGGTACAAACGATGATGAGTTTAGATGTGTTTTCATATTTAGAAGTAACGAGCTTCTGAAAGAGTATCACAAATTCCTCTTGACCGAAGCAGACTGCGGGAACCTCGTGAGACAAGAACTAGTCAGCCAAATCCCACCCTTGCTACTGGACGTGCAACCCAACCACTATGTACTTGACATGTGTGCCAGTCCCGGATCAAAAACAAGCCAGTTGATTGACTTGCTGCACCGGGACTCAAAAACACCCTCTGGTCTGATTGTGGCTAATGATTCTAGTAATCCCAGATGTTATACGATGACTCATAACCTGAAGAGACTCGGGAGTCCATGTCTTATAGTGACTAATCACAACGCGATCACGATGCCTAATCTGGACGTGGAACCGGAGAATCCTTCTGACAAAGAACCAGGTAAAATATAGAAATGGTCTTTGCGCCGTTTGAATTTTAATTTTCAGCTTTCTTTACGCTTGCGATTAGCAAGCGCTATCAAATCGCACTATATGCTTCTTTTCGGGTTCAGCAAATAATTTGATTAATTTTTGCTACTGAAATGCTCAATACCCGTTAAGTTCAAATTGAACTGTTGGCTGTTACTGCTAGTAAGTACTAACTACCCGGGTTGACCAAAAATGCTTATCATACAATTCTCAAAAATGGGAAATTTCTTTTCATACAATTCCATACGTACAGAAAATTTTATAGTAATTTGAAATGTATAGTAATTTAAAATTATAAGTCTATGATAAACATTTTCCCATAAATCGAAATTGTATGACAAACATTTTTGTCATAAATAGAAATTGTATGACTGAAAATTTGTCATTTATGAAAATTGTATGACAAACAGTTTTGAGAAATTTTTTTTTCAAATGCGGCACAAATTACATTAAAGCCCATCTAATAAGCCGTGCAATCTGCTAACAGAGAAGAAAACTGAGAAAAAAAGTTTTTTCAAGAAGTTGCAACCTCAGTTTCTTAATTTTCTGCAGGAGATCTTAATTCTTTAGATATCAGCAATGTCCTAATCATAATCTTAACGGGGGGGGGGGGGGGCTCCCGAGCCGAGTCTCTTAAAAAAATAACTTGCTTATCTGGGAGAAAACCTTCGGCAAATCTCTCCAACATCGTGAATCCACTACCTCTTACATCCACTAATGCATTTTCTATAAAGAACATTATTACACGTGCGAGAAAACAAAAAAAGTCTGGTACATTATAAGTTTGAAGTTGTTTTCCGATAAAAATTTACACTAACAAAAATGAAGCTGACATTCAAGTTTAATTCGACGGTTTTAATTTCGTATTGCTCCCTCCTAAATCTGCTGGTGATTACAAGCATTTTTTATCAACCCGGCGGTAAACTTTGCTCGGATGCTATAAAAAGCTTATTTTTCAATAAATTTTTTTCGAGTCCTCTTAAGTTAACTTTTTGATTTTTCCCGCCAGCTTGATGAAAGAAAGCACAAAAGGTATTCGAATACACATCTAATGGTTGACAGTCACTATAATCAATATCGAAAAAAAAACAAATGGCACAGATTAAAGCTAGTTTAAATAAAGCATTGCTTTAAAAAAATTCAACTTTTAAATTTCAAAGAAAGAAATAGATGCCCTTTAAGCTCTTTGAGTTTCTAGAATAATTTATGATGAGCGCTTTTTGGATAACATTAACCCAACTAGAGATAACTGGATCAACAGGTAAAGTTTTTATTCCACTGGAAATCTAAAAATTAAATTCAACTTTCAAAACTAAAAATCGCTCAAGTTTTTTTCGCGCTATTTCCATGTTCGTATTTGGAGAGCGCAATTTACGTTCTTTTCAGCAGATGACTTCCAATTGAGTTGAAAAAGGGCATTATGCCTATGTGCATCAGTGTTTTAAGACTTTTTCCTGATAAAAAAATCAGCAAGACCTGTGTAAGAGTATTCACTACGTTCATTACTCTTAAAACTTAAAAATGTAGTTTTTCCTTTTACTGAACAGCAGAGTTTGAGTGTTACTTTTTCAGACAAATGAACAATCAGTCAATTCTATACCTGCTGGTGTTATTCGTATTGTAGTATACTTATATAAATTAGCGCTGTTTTTTGCAGGCGTTGCCTAACTACCACTAGCAGTAATTTTTACCCTTACTTTTATAGCTGTTTGCATAATCGAATGGGGAAAAAGAACAACAACCTTAAAAAGTTGTGGCCCAACGTTGATTTTTGAACCGTTATTTTTTCAAGCCCAAAACATTTAATCCAAAAACAAACTAATAAATGGGAAATGATTAGCCTAGACCTCTGAACCAGAGCATAAAATAAAATTTTGCTTTGATTAGGCCAATATACCATAACTCCAAACACTCAAATGAATAACCAACATCATGTTAATATTGAGGCAACATAAGTAATTTATCCAAGAAAAACATAGGCCGGTACCATGAAACCGAATCAAAACTAAGAATTACAAGAAATCAGAGTTATTTAAAGATAGAAAAAACACTACTCCTTTTAGAGGCGTTATGTTGTGTAAACAAAATACAACACGATAAACAATAAAACATAGCCAATCGAATATTGGAAAAGAGTAATGAACAGAAGTTAACATAAAAAACATTGAATTTGTTGAAAAAATCTTAAATTTAGAAATTCAAAGAAATAATGGATGCCCCTTAACCTCTCTGAATTTCTAGAATAATTTATGATTGGCGCTTTTTAGAGAACATGAACCCAACTAGAGAAAACTGGATCAATAGTTAAAGTTTTTATTCCGCTAAAAATCTTCAAATTAAATTCCACTTGCGAAAATAGAATTCGTTCACGTTTCTTTGCGCCATTTCCACGTTCGTATTTGGAGAGTGCTATTTATGTTACTTTGAGCAGATGAATTTCAATTGAACTCAAAAAGTGCATATATACTCAAGTGCATTCATAAATGCATCAATATGTATGAATGCACATCTGTAGTTATTAGAGACTTTTCCTGAAAAGGAAAAACAAACAAAAAAAATTAACAAGACCTATATAAGAGTCTTTACTACGTTACGTTCTTTACTCTTAATAAATGAAAACTATTCGAGCGTCTCCTTCAAACTAAATTCTTGGCAATAAGCAGAAATGATTAAATTGTGAGAAAACACATGTTCACTGCGTATAGAGATTGGAGTTTTACAACTGTGGCAAATGTTCGCGCTTAAATTAATCTTAAAATAATGACGTCATTATAGCGCGAAAGTGAAAAAGCTAAAATTAAATTTTCTTTGACAAAAGGCCTTGAAAACTACTGGTTTGTCCGATTAAGGTCAGTTTGCCATCAAAAATGTTTATAGATTTTTGAGATTGTTGAAAAGCGTATTGCTAAAATGTTAACCGAAAAATGTTTAACTCATTGTTTTCAGATGTTACTTTTTCTTCATACTATCTGCTTAAATTGCTGATATTTTACAGATGTTGAACCAGGTTTTTTAGATCTTACAGGATACGGGAGTGCGGCAAATTTTGGTCCGCCGACCCGGACATTAGATATTCCGGACGATATTCGTGAACAATTTTTCAAAGACGACACAATTGGCCGAAAGTGTCCAATTAGCCGATATTTGTAGAAACACAACCCAATTGGCCGAAAGGGACCAATTAGCCGAAATTTTTCCAAAGACGACCCAATTGGCCGAAAGTGTCCAATTAGCCGATATTTGTCGAAACACGACCCAATTGGCCGAAAGTGACCAATTAGCCGAAATTTGTCCAAACACGACCCAATTGGCCGAAAGTGTCCAATTATCCGATATTTGTCCTAACACGACCCAATTGGCCGAAATTGTGCAATTAGCCGAAAGTTGCCCTAAAGTATCCCAATTGGCCGAAATTGTCCAATTAACCGATATTGTCCAAACAGACCCAATTGGCCGAAAGTGTCCAATTATCCGATATTTGTCCAAACACGACGCAATTGGCCGAAATTGTGCAATTAGCCGAAAGTTGCCCTGAAGTATCCGAATTAGCCGAAATTGTCCAATTAGTTGAAATTTGTCCCAACTTGATCCACTTGGCTGAAATGGTGCAATAGCCGAAACTGCCGAATTGGCCAAAGGTGTCCAATTAGCCAAAATTTGTCAGAAGGTGACCAATTGGCCGAAACGACCCAATTGACTGAAACGACCCGATTGGCCGAAACGACCCGATTGGCCGAAACGACCCAGTTAGTCGAAACGTCCCAGTTAGTAGAAGGGGAGGCCTTTTCAGGTATCCTGATTGTGGATTGTGGACATCCATTTTTTCTCAACACCCGAAGTTTTCCGTGTATTTTGGATTCTACCGGTGAACGCCTCTACAAAACTTGTAAGACTAAAAAACCAAAACTTTATTTATTTGTGCTAACTTGCTGATTTGATGCCTTAAATTCTGATACGAGGTTTTTTGATGGCAAAATCGTAACCCCCAATTTTTCTCGATACCAAAACCTGATCAGAAAATTTTCTGTGGGTTTAGAAAAATAAACCGGCCTCATAAACCTTAATTACGTTATCCTAACACCGTGTTTGTAAGCTCAACACCGTATCGAAAACGACCGAGTCGAGTTTTTTGCCGAAATTTTGGTCTTTTTAGAAAAAAACTCAAAATTTCGCAAACGCATCAGGGGACTGTTGGAACTTGAACCGTTGGGTGAAAGCGTGAAAAAACGGGAAGAAAACGGTGAAATCGTCTTACCTTTTGCTACAACCTTGTTAGCTCAGGGTGTTGCGGGAGGTCAGGTCGCGGTTTGCTTGATTCCCTTCTCTAAAGTTGATTCAATTCCCTAACTGTTCATACTAGCTGCTAGCTCGCTGCACCACGCTTTGAAAATGCTTTCCCCCGCTTCGCAAAAGCGTGTATCTCAATCGTGCTTAGCCATTCCCGGGTTAAGTTTCAACCATAACGCAGTAAACGTCCGTAAAACTCGTCAGTATCAACTTGATCACTATCTCTTAAACGGAACCGACATTGTTATTTGGCACGGCGCCGTTAATAACTCTATTAGTCGACACCGTAGTAATAACTTAAACGCACTATCTCCTAACCAGCTTAAGAAGATTCTTTTAAACTATAAAGGTAATATTTATGCAATCGTTTACTGTAAACGTGTAGGCACGGAAGATATATATAGTAAGTTGAAAGAGTCAGGTATATTAGTTATTAATATAGTAACAGACTTGATATCCAGAAGGAAGCAGAACCTCACTGAGTTAATGCAAAAGTACTTAGAACTACACCAGGATCCCTCGCTGAAAACGTTTACGATCCTTAGGCGTTATAGCAAGAATTTGAAGTATAATATTTCAAAGAAAAATACTCCTAAGCCAGGAAAACGCAAGCGACAAGCTAATCGAAACAGAAGAAATGCTGAGCAGCAACTAGGAGTTAAATAAAGTGCTTCTCTAATGTGT